AACATTATTGAATTATTATCTACCTGCGGATGAAAAAGTGTAAATGGAATGGGAGAAAAAGCTATCCGACCTAAAAAAGTAAGTTACGTCAAATCAATTTCCATCTTATCCTCAAATCCCCCAAGACCTCGGCAGTTAGCACAAAGTATCTGATCGGAGTCGAATGGAAATATATTCGCCCCAAGCGAATGTCGTGTGTTTTTTAGATCAACTTTAGTTGGTCCAACACTAATTGTTGGTATCGTTATAATGTAAATATAGTTTGTGTGCAATCATGCTTTTGTATTCCAATCAATTTTGGCTTTTTACTACTGAGTATCAAGAAAATACTGGGATAAATACTTTTTTTATCGCGAAATTTGACAATTTCCGAGAAACAAATAAAATTTTTAAGTAGAAAATACCAATATTTATAAAATAAATTTAGATATTTTTACCTTCAATAGTATTCATACGTACTCTGTTTAGATAATCGGAATGCAATTCCATATTAACACTGCCTGAAATATTCTAGTTTAATAATATTATTAATAGACTGGAGCTTGTGAATTCAGCTTTGCCTAATGTTTTCCCTATATTATTCAACACACTTAACTTTAGGGGAAGAAAGTTCCAACTCGTGCTAATGTTCCAAACCTGACACGGAGTGTCAATATTATGATCAACATTTTAGTAAGACAAGAACTAAAAATATTTACTTTAAAAAACTGTGACTAATCATTCATTTTCAATGAAATTGCAAGAATATTAATATTTGAATCTTTTAATTTTACAAGTCTTTATATTTTTTGTCAGAACAAAATATTTTATTTACATTTTTATTGTTTCATTGTTTACATTCTACCGTATGCGAAAATTTGTTTTGTTACCAAACTGTGTAAATGCTAGAAAAGTATCATTGATTTAAATCTGTGAAATGTCTCAAAATCGTGACATGTTCCAAAACGTGTTTTAAACCCAAACTTTGCATTTGTTTCAAAAATGTGACATGTCCGAAAATGAAATAAAAATCATATAAAATTGAAATTTTAGTTATAAAAATGTAGCTTTAACTATTAATTTTTTTACTAATATTAACAGTTAAAAAAGATAACTTTGCACATTTTGGCCCAAATTCTTATTTTTTTTGTATTATGTGATAAAGTTATGGTCAAAAGGGACAATTGATTATGTCCAAGGCGCTTATGACACCAAAGAATTAAGATTTCAAAATTCATTAATATCACAAGTTTTGAAATATTGTCGAATTCCCTCACAAGCCTTTGTTCACAATTGTATCGTCTTTTCAGATGGGAAATGTTCGATTTGTTTTAATGAAAACTTGGCAGAGCGGGATGTTATTTTACTTTATTGTCCCAATGGACAGTTAAGTAACTTAACATCCCTGACCCGGGAACTAAGGGTCGGTAATATTTGAAAAAGAGGCGTTACATCTCCTTTATTAATCATTTATAACGTTTTCTTGTAACCATGTCCAAATTTAACGCTAGAAACTACGTTTACCTAAAAGAATGATAGATTTAGAATCCAGTTTTTGTGTGAGAAGATCCATAGTTTCTACAGGAGTAGGATACCTATCCTTTAACTGCATTGAGTACCATAGAATAGCTGAACCCTGAAATAGCCTCAGCTTAGTCTCTCCAGTCTAAATTTCTTAGTGTCAGCTCTGTACTATTAAAGTTAGACTTGACTCCAGGAAAATGTGTTTAAAGGTTTAAAGAAAACTAGATACATTTCTTTGCAAGGACATCAGGACATGATTCATTGACTGTAGGTTGATTGTTAATAATAATAATAATAACTTACTGAAGGGAGTTGCGTACCTGCACCCGTATTTTTGCCATTGAGTGGTTTAGTAATATCATTAATATAATAATTATCTGTATTTAGGTATTAACCCAAGGGCAACTTCCCAAATGTGCAATTTACCAAAGATAAGGTTATGCCTTTGCAATGGGGGGGCCGAGCGCTGGGGCTAGAATGATATATGGGGCCGAGCGCTGCGGCTTGAACAGGCTTTATGAATCAAGTGTTCTGACTAGAAGAGACAAGTGTAAAATTAGACGGTTGGGAAGTTGCCACTTGGGAACTTGGAACTTGAAAGTACGAAACATGAACTATCTAACCTTGTCCTTCTTTTTAAACTTTTTACTCAGCTGAAGAGCACTCTGCTTTATATCTTTGTAGAAATCCTTCAAAACAAAATATTTCAAATTTTACTTTTCTTAATAATATTTTGTATTTAAACATAAGCAGTGGGACACTGTAGGCGTGGAATAAGAAGACGACAGCCATACCCAGGCCAGGTCAAGGAAATATTGGACACTCCCTGGCTTCTTGAATTGAATTGAATAGACTCAATTTATGATTTCAATTATTCTAATGAACATCCAACACAGCAAATGTACCCAGTGTACACAGACACATCAATAATAAGTTAAATAAATTGAATTTTCAACAAAATCAAACAAATTATTGCTTAAATGTCGTCTTCCATCGTAAATATCTAAATATTTATTTTCCTTGTTGTTGTTTTTCTCCGGTCGTTCCTTTGTGTAGAAGAACACCAACATCAGAAACACCCTGTAAAATTGATCATATTTTGTGATCGCGTAGGAGAACACTTTAAAGACTGGAGAAAAAAGTTGGAAAAAAGTGATTTTATCGTATTCTGTTCAACAAAAATTCAAGGATTTTGATTAAAGTCGTCTTAGTTGAAAATATTTTTTTTAATTTCTCCAGAAATTAATGTAATTAAACATCTAAAGTGAATTATTGGATAAGTTTTTTGTTCTTGTGAATTTCTCCATTCGTTGCATAACTCGGAACGGAAGACGACAAATAACTGTAATCTGGAGGGGAAACTTTCTACCATTGCCAATTGAAATATCAACAGTACATTTCTAAACATATCTTTAAAATACAATTATCCTTTAATATTTAAGCAGAAACTTGTATTACTATAATTACTCTATTAATTGAGTAAGTAAACAAAATAAACAAACTTGAAACTAAAATTAAGTTTTTACACGGGTAACAACACACCTATTCATAATAAGCGATTTTATAACACTTTACCTGTCGTTTTTTTCAAGGCAGGTTTTAGCAAAGTTTTTTAAAAAGAGTAAAACTTCCTAAAAAAAAATTAAATTTTTTTTTATTTTTTCTTACAAAAATTCTTTTGTAAACTAATTTGCTGTTAATACCTTAGTATCTGATTCTGTAATCATGATCACTAATGATATCTTTGTGGACTCAGTAACAAACGGTAGGGAGACCATTAAAGGTTCTGAAAACTCCTGAAAAAAACAAAGAATTTACAATAACAATGGCCTAAGGCTACACGGGGGGTTCCACAATGGGGATCTTGCATGATCATTGATATTATTATTTCACCATCATCATATACTTAATCTTTAAATTGATAAACTTAAGATGTACATTGTACACTTACAGTGTGAATTGCTGTGCATTACAAACCATAGTCTATTAAAGGAAGTAACTAAGAAGGAGGTCAAGGTATACAACGTACATTTCAAATTTTTGTACACCTAGTTGTACAATACAGTTTGTATACCTGAAACTAAGGACATTCTAATCTTGTGTAAAGTACCGTACAATTGTACATTACCGTACAGTTGTACAGTAACGTATATTTGTCCAATACGGCAGTTTTACTGCACCATATACTTGTACAGTACCGTTTAGTTGTACAGTGTCAGTGCCTTACTGTTGTACATAACAGTTTGATTTACCTGAAGTATTGAACAATCTGTTCTGGCAAGTTTCCCTTCTTCCCCCATATATTCTGAACTCGAACCATTTATAAAATTAGGGAAAAAATGAATTAAAAATATGATCTTGGTTCACCAAATTCCTTGTTTCATTCAAATGGTTGTGTTTTACTTTTAGGTGAAGTTTCTTAGAATGTTTTATTACAAGAGGAATAACGAATAACTTGTAGGAATGAGAAAGGAATTGAACTATTGCCACAAATTATAATTTTCTAATCCCTATATTTTTACAACCTTTTGCTGTTAACCTTTAATATTTCATTCCCTTCATTTCTGTTAGTCTATAACGTTTGAAATATGAAAGGTTTGCACCTTTCAGGCGAGTGTTTTAGGTTATCAAAATAATGAATGGTTTCCTATATTGAAAAGATAATGAACTCCTAGCTC